AGGGGACCAAAAACACAGAAAACTATTGATTTTGGACCTTCCATACAAGTTGGAAACTTTTTGGACCCTATCCAAAGTTTTTAAACACCACATGGACCAATCATATAGTTTTGTCTTTAATATGGTTTCCTCACCTTACTCAACCTCTTTTTTGTTCGACCATTCAGTATAGGGTCATGGAGGGTCGTTATTGCCGATGTGGCATGGCCTCAATGGCATTATAATGCCTTGAACACCGCCCCAGCTACGCATTAAGGGGGGATTATAAAATACATACATATATATATATATATATATATATATATATATATATATATATATATGCACACACACACAAAAAAAAAAAGTTACTACACCATTCTTCTATTTCTCATTCTATTTACATAAAAATTAACCACATTTTCTTTCAACTAAGCTATGGAGCAAAACCCGAACACCCCTCCACCAAACACAAACACATTCGCTCTGATGTGGTTCGCGCAATACGAAGGCTATAGGGACCTCCTTGACTTTCAAAACCAACCACAATACCATTTTTAATAAACTATTTCAATCTCACCTCAACCCCCCCCCCCCCCCCCTCTCCCAATGCAATTTCCTACATTGTCCTACATGCAACAAAACTCAAACATTTAACAAAATATATTCAATATATTTGTTTTTCATGCCACAAACAACCACACAACCAATGCAAGATACAATTCCTGAAACACAAGCAGGAGGTAGTCGGAAATGTAGAAGTAAAGGGAAAAAGAAAAGGAAAGCGATCACGGAAAGTGAATAAGAACTGAAGAAGCTCTAATATGGTGGACACCGGGGGAGAAGTACACGTTGGCGTGGTGTGGGACTTCAAAAAATCCAACTGTAGGAAGTGATATGAGGTGAGTTGGTTTTCGGGAAGTCATGCTCGGAAAATTTTACGCGATTTTGAAGAAAAGTCATATCGCAATGCCAATATGCTTAGTAGCAAGTGGACTTCAATCAATCCTAGGTGGATCAAGTTTAATGAGATTTTCACAAGACTTTCTTCACAAAAGCAAAATGGTGCGAATGATTTTGATTTGTTCAAAGCTGCGAGGGAGCAATATCATGTCGAAATGGGGCACACTTTCGAGTATGAAAAAATATGGGAGATTGTGAGAAAATATCCAAAATTGGTTAAAACGCAAACATCTTCGGATGCACTATCAAAGAGATCCCGTAATTCTAGTTCATTTGACGTTTCCGACGCACAATCTAACATCAACCTCAACACCGACACAAATGACATCCCCCGAGCCCTGACAACATCAAAGAGATCCCCCCCCCCCTCAACCGGTCGGACGTGACAAAGCGAAACGCGCTCAACAAAATGCGGACGAAGCCGAGTTGGCGGAAATGAAAGAAAAGTTTGAGCAACACAATTTAATAGCAAAAGAAAGTGTCGAAGTGCAACACGAACACTTGAAATTCCTTCGTCGTCAAGCAAAGAAAGCTCAGATGGCAAAAAAATTGGCAATGATGAACAACATAATTAAGTGAAAACATACATTTAAGATTTAATAATATATACTTATCCAATTAAGTCTCGTGTCTATTAGCTTTATTGCGTCCATAAAATCAACATCTTCGTAACATTATTTTTATTTTCTCCAACAAAATTTTCGATTAAATGTCTTTATTAATATGTATTTTAAATTACTTATGTAAAGTTTGTGAGTTTTATTGAACAACGTAATTATTACATCAAGAAGAATAACAATTACATAGTTGGATGTTTAACCAAATGACGTAATATAACGAGAATGATGATGATCCAAACCATTAGATATTACTTTTGGTGGAGCTTAAGAAAGTAGAATTTGGTCCAAATTAAAAGTTGTTTGATCGTTTTATGTGTAAAAAATAACAAGGGTCTTATAGGAATGGAACATGAAATCTAGACGTCTTGACCAATTTTGTTATAGCAATTTTTCTTTTCACGTGTTAAAGAAGAGTTTTTGATACTGTAGCACAATCACGTTTGACGAATTTACACATCTAGTCACTCAAGTATTTTTTGTGCTCAATTAGTCCTTAAAGTAAGAAATCACATATCAATTACACCATTATGGAGCTGGAAACTGGAACAACGGGTTCCATCCCTGATGAGGCATTTAAATAAATTTAATAAAAGTGTTTTTGTAGTCCACGTATGTAGCACTTTGCATTTAAGTAAATTAGATTAAAAAAAAAAAATTGGCTTCAGATCCTTGATCAATGCAGCCAACTCTAGTTACTTTCTTCTTCCATTCACTTTTTCTTTCTCTGGATGTCGGCGATGCTCTGGCGACCAAACCCAACCAGTTGTGGTGAAGGTGTCTGAGAATGAAACAACCCAACCAGCCAAGAGTACATTTCAAATTAACAAAGATGATGATCAGATCGGTTAAGATAAAACATGAAATCAGATTAATTTGTGTACCATATGAGATTATGCTTCAATCCCAATCTATCCTTTCCACGAACACATCCAGGCTTGTTGAACTGATTAGCGATCGATGAGGAATTTTTTCATCTTTGGATACGCCATTGTCCTTAAATCACCATGATCATTATCATCGATTTCATGCTGGTGACTGAAACGCACTAAATGGGTAAATCATGGGCGGTGAACGATGGATGGCAGAGGCAGATGCTACATAGATAGGGTGTTGGAGTAACAACAATCCATTGAGAATAGATCGGATCAAAGGAAGATAGATGGAGTGTCGAATTCTGACCTAAGGAGGTATGGGTAGCAGAAGTAAGAGTGTACAGAGAGTGAAACGACGGGAAATTGGCGGATTCAACGAATTGCCACCATGAACGGTAAACGTAATAGAGGACGGATCGATGAACATAACAAAGACATAGTTGCACGAAGATATGTCAAACAATGGAGATCTATAAGCATGTTGAAGTATATCATCGACATCCACCACCACTGCGTCTTCATCGGACGCAACGACACCATAAACGAGACCATTATGTGTGTGTGTGTATGAGAGAGAGAGAGATGCCTTCACTGGAAACCTGCAAATATATGCAATTTTTTACCTCCAAACCGTAAAGCAAAACCCTTAAATCATATATTTCTTTAAAATATGTCTGCTTTCAAGTGTAACTTGGTTGATCAAATACAAATATGTAGTGTAAAGGAGGCACCTGCTTTGTGAAGAAGAAAGGGAGAAACCAGAAAAGAAAGTTAGAGAAGAAGGGCAAAAGGGTGAGATGGGATAAGGGGTGGGCCCATCCATATTCATTCTTTGACACAAATAGGTTCGATTTAGTGTGATGAGGTGGCCTATTGTGGCGATATAGATCAAACCAAGTTAACATTTACCTTTAAACCGGTTAAAATATCACTCGTTTCTTTGTTTAGAAGGTAATTTCTTACTTTAAAGACTAATTGAGCACAAAAAATACTTAAGTGATTAGATGTGTAAATTCGTCAAACGTGATTGTGTTATAGTGCCAAAAACCTGTTAAAGAAATGCTTATGTTAAGTCGAGTCTAAGGTTTTTTAAGTTAGGTGACATGACATTCTTTGCTAAATTCGTGAGAAATGGTTTTAGAAAAAAAAAATTATTGATAATTCGCAAAGTGATTTGCATAGAGTTAGTGTCTAAAAATATTACTTATCTATGTCGTCAAACAATTTTAGCAGTGTTTGTACTTTGTATAACCTAAGTATCCGGCCATGTGGATGAAGTGGTTTTGCTTGAATGAATGTTATTTGAGATTGTCATGAAACTATGAAAGGTTTAATATATTTGTGTATGATTTTTACATTCATACTAAGAGGGTGTTTGACTTAGCTTTTCAAACCCAAAAGTTCTTTTTGGAAAAGTTACAAAAAGTCAGGATTTCCTGACTTTTCCAAAAAGTTCATTTTTCTTATGTAAAAACTTCAAAAGTAGCTTCTAAAACTAGTTTGCCAAACATCTTTTGCTTTTTTTTCTTTTCCAAAAAGTACTTTTGGCTTTGAAAAGCTAAATCAAACACCCTCTAATATATACACACATAAAAGGGCAAAGCTAAAGAATTATCAGTTTTCCTATATTTAATTCCATTTCAAAAACATAAAAGATTGTTACTTTTTTTCTCAACTGGATCACACGGATAAAATAATCATTTTCATTATTTTCCTTTGTTTGCCTTTTTCCCTTTTCTCAAAAAACTTGAAAAGATAGTGTAGAAGTATACAGGGTTATCTAAAATATGTAAGATTCTCTTCTAAGCAATTATCGGCCTTATCTTAATAACGTTAATTGTGATCTAGGATCTCTACTTGCTATTTAAAATTTATGGTGTTTGAATGTTTGTTAACTTGTTTAAATAATGATTATGTGATAATTATTTTTTGAGTGTTTTTTTAATTCTACTTAGCTTATAAGAAACTGATTTTGATATATTTCCAAAGAAATTAAAGAATGCATATTGCATTAGAATTAAAAATATATGAAGCTAGGGAAAATTCTTGTATTTAACAATAATAGTCATTCGTCCCAAACAAAGATTAGGTTAGACTAAAAGAGAAAAAATCAATACAATTCACCTTTTAATTATTAGTACTAGTGCTTTTATCTTTATGCTCTAAAGTTTATTAATTTATTTTAAATTCAAAAAAAAAAAATATCCAAAAACTAAAAACAAACTATTACGATTTCAAACAATAATAACTAGATAAAAATTTTCAAAACACATATCTGAACCTGAACCGAATCCCCATGAGAGCCAAATGTTGAGATGAATTCTAAAATGAACGATGTAATTCTTTCTAAATAACTCAAACAGAAATTGTTGAATTTATTTCAGGAAGAGAAAAGGCGAAAACATTGATCATCAAAACCAAATTAACAAAGATAATCAATCTCATATGAAATTCCAACTTTATTAATGCTCATATACATATAATCTGTACATGGTTATGAACCAAATCTGTCCCAAACTATTGAAATCAAAACAGAAAATAAAAATATTCATAGCAAACCTAGAAATTACGAACGGAATTTGTATTTGGCTCTCTCAGCATTTGCAAAATTTTCGAAAAAGGAATCCAACTCCGGTGAAGTGAAAAACTGAATATCACCATTCTTCTGGCACTTGGATACCGGCCGACGCTTCTTTGGTGCTAGTGGTGGCGGACATCGTAACTTCTCCGGCAACCTCGATTCCTTTGATGTCGGAGTCGTTGAACCCGAGTTTGAGCCTTCATCAGTCTCTCCATTCTCTTTATTAGTCGATACAGATCTCAAGGGAGCACACATGGTGATTCCAGAAATCACCCATGTCTTTCCTTCCATTATATCTCCATCTACTTGATGCTTTTTCGAGAAACCCATAACTTGAAGTCGGAAAACGGAGCTTTCTACGATCAAAAGCAGGTTCGTTGATCAGAGGATGTGAAGAAGAAAAAAAAAACGAGCGAAAAATCAAATGAAATAGAGAATATAGAGGAATGAGAAAGAGGGGCTTGAATAATGGAGCTTTGAATGGAGGCGGCAAACAATAAAATGTGATAAATACGGAGAAAAATCGAGTTAAATTTTGGGAATTTTGGCGCCATTATTTTTACAACGGCTCTCTTTCCCGCGCTTTTGAAATTTCCAGTATTACCCTTCTGCGGAGTTGGTATTTACTTGGTGTTGCACCGGTAGTGGTGCGTGAACTGACGGTGGGTTAAGGCATGATTACCGAGTCAGATGGTGGCAGACCGGGGGCCCAAAAGATTCCCAGAATTTCTGCTTGTTGGCCCAATTTTTTAACGATTTCTCTGCAATTTTTTCATTACAGATTATGTCATTATGAATCATGAGATTAATGCCTTTTATTTTTAAAATTTAAAAAACGCAAATAAGGTTATTTTGTTTGTTGAGATAAAAATATAAAAGATAAGTTGACAGCATGATAATCTAAATTTACATATTAAATATTTGTATATCATCGTTACTGATCGTGTTATATAATTTATCATTCAAGTATATTGTTTGATATAATATTAATAAACACCCGCATTCAATTAAATTTGTAAATAAAAACAGAAACAAGTTTCTTGTAAAAAACATTATCTGTAAACAAAACCAAATAAAATAAATCAAGTTTCGAAAAATATGTTTTTTATCTGATTAATTTTTTTTAAAAATGTTTGTATCACAGGAGAATTCACGTAAAATAAAAACCAAGTGTCCACATAATGAAAACCAACAAAATAGAGACAATCAAGAAATGATTGATTTTGTTTTATTTCATTCGATAGAACAAATGATTTCTCTTATCTCATTCTAATAGTTTAGTTTATTCATTTCCGACCTCTATTATTAAATACAAAATGCAAAATATGTTAAAATAAAAGACTTTAATTATTAGATATATAGTTTCATTTCAATTTACAATATGATAAAATCATTCACTTAAAAGAATAGTGTGTGTTTTTTTTTTTTTTGTTAATTTCAACAATCAATACTTAGTTTGCAACGAAAAACTCTACGTTTATTTTAATCCATGATATCTAATCGTTTTTATCTGGAACTGAAATAAAAATCAAAATATATTTTAAATTATGTTTCTATCTGATCCTTTCAGATATATCTGTTATAAAACATACGATAACATTGATTTTGTTCAATATGATTATCTACCATGTGTGTATTTAAATGTGAGATTTAGATAAAAATCAACATATGTTTTTAGATTATGCATTTATACTTCTATCCGATCTTTTTGGATGTGTACTAATAATATTTATCTTCAAAATCTGGTAACTCTAATTTTGTTTATATCTAAATACATTATATACCACGTTAAGTATATCCAAAAGTAGACCGCCTCACAACAACATTAGCAGAATACTTACATTTTATAGCCTTAATTAACAACATACTGACATGTTATACCCATAATATCTAATATTTATCACATATTGCAATCATTGCTAAAAAACATAAATATGTCACCATCATGGGCAAGGAATTAATTATAATATAACCACGCTATTTATGTGTAAACAAATGTAAATATGTTCCTATTAGGAGTTGCATCTTGCCATTATCAGCAAAAAAATATATATATAAGTACGTTGTTAATTTGTTATAGATAAAGAAACATAAGTATATTGGTACATTTCCCATATTGATACTAACTTACTACAATTAACATTACACAAAAACAGAGTTACTCCTACCTAGTATGGAACAAATAAATCATAAACACTTTGTACATACATATAGATTCAAGTCATTCAACCACTCCAACTCCTACTATAACAGAAAAAGACCTTTTTTTTTTTTATTGGATGATGTAAAGCTCTTGTTTGGCAACGGAGTATCGACCAATGATATTTCCAGGTTCCATAATAAACTGTTCTTGAAAAGTTCCCATTCTTTTACTAGGTATGTCGATATTCAAATCTTTAAAATCTGGCACATCTTCTGCTTGTATGCCATCTCCACATATAAGAAACTGGTTTCCAACAATAAATGATCCCGAAACACGAATTGCAACTCCATCTTCACCGTGGGCCCTACACTGTAGCTTTTCAACAACATGCACGAGCTTTTCAGAAGGCCATTCACCAGCTAATGTACTCCGAATATTTGATAAGGTTTTAAAAATATCATCAGGCCCAGTAGATTCTTTCCCCGAGAAACTGAAAATAGAAAATCAACATAATATATTTATTATAAATTATTAGACAAAATAATACAAGTCTCAAATCAGATGAACCTGAAAGTTGATGATTCGTTGTAGAAGCTCTTTGCAGATTGCCAGAGTTCATCTGACCCATCAAAAAGCAAATAGTAATGTACTGCTAGCATCTGATGAAACAAAATTCAAACATCAATATAATCCAAAATCTAGTAAAAACATAAAGTAGGGGTAAGATTGTCATTTTACATCTGCTAAATCTTTCATTCTTTGTGTTGGATCAAAAATGCTACGAACAAATGCTGCTAAGTCGACTTTGGCATTCTCGTATTTTGTGATAAATGGATGTGAAAGAAGCTGCATAAAAGTATAAATGTATAAGGTCTTTGAATAATTATGCTTATTTAATAAATGGCTCTTTTTTCTTACTTGCTCTGCAGTTGGTCTTGCATCAGCATCTTTCTGTAGACAAGCCTCAATAAATGAGCAGAACTCTGGAGAAAAAATGTCTTTTGGGGGTGATGGAGATGGATCTTCCAGGATCTATTAAGATGTGGGAAATAAAAATTTATACATATATATAAATATATGAGCAAGAATAAAAGAAAGAACCAATATACTGCAGTTGACAAAATTACCTGTAACATAAGATTAACAGGTCCTTCATTTGCTGTATAAGGAAATTCACCAGTGCCACATTCAAAAAGAGCAAGACCAAGGCTCCAGATATCAGCTGGATATGAATAACTTTCATTTCTGATTCTTTCAGGTGACATGTAGGTCACAGTTCCCACAAATGTAGCACACTGAAAAAAGGATCTAGGAATATTACAACCACATTTATTAATATTCGTTAGCTTCATGTTGTATTTGATACAAAATGAGGTTAAAAAAAAAAAAAAACACTTACCATTGCCATGGAATTCTCTAAGCCAGCACTTATCCCAAAGTCTGTAATTTTTGGTTCTCCCTTGAGATTCACAAGCAAATTTGCAGGCTTTATGTCTCTGTGGACTAAGTATCTAACTCCATGCAGATAGCTTAGTCCCTGAAGAATAATAAATATATTAATAACAAGAGGTATGAATCTTAGGATAACAAGTAAGAATATTTACCTGCAAAAGTTTTTGAACCATTAGAGAAAGAACAGCTTCTGGTATACATCTTTGTCTTTTTATAACATCAGCTAATGAACCTCCATCCATGTACTCTAGAGCAATGCTTATTTGCCCAGAGTCAGGAGTGTAAAAAGCTCCATAAAATTCCACAAGACCTTGATAACATGGTGCTTCACATAATGTTCTTATCTCAGTAAGAAGCTGTTGTCTTTTCTCCTGATATGAAAAAAGAATGTTGGAGGTGAGTGTAGTGATGGAATTGAATTTCCATACTACATGTGATGAAATACAAATACAGAGTTACAGAAATACAGACCTTTTCAAAAATGTTGATCTTCTTTAATGCAATGATTCTGTGAGTTGGGATATGAATAGCTCTTTGAACTACACTGCTTGCACCACTGCCTATGGCTCCAAATATTCTCATTTCATGTGAAGCACATCTATAAGTCCTTTCTCTTTCATCTACATCGTTTGTTACTCTTGATGTGCACTTTTGTAATCCAAGTTCATTAATGTTGTATACTCCATAAGATCGACTGAGTAGGTTGACAGTTCCACCATCTGATAGCTTCATGGAAGAAAATACAAAATCGGTTAAGTTGATGTGATCTGATTTAGAATTTTACCTCTAATTGTTATATTACCATGTATGAATCAGAAGGATCCATGGTTGATCCTGAAGAGAAGCCCTTTTCTGCATCGAATAGTGGTACCAGTTTCTTTTTCAATTCCTCTAGTCCTGCCATGGTAGATTAACTTATTGCAACCCTACCACATCCTTCTATCCTGGTGGCTGGCAAGAATGTAAACATACACATCAAGAGTCATAAGCATGAGCTTTATGAGTGTTTGATCAAAGCCAAACGTTATTAAGCATCTATCCACACATTGGTTCACAGATTTTAGCATAGGTTAAAAGTACAATGTGAACTGTGAGTTCTTTCAGGTGCTTATAAACTGAGCTATTCTCTCGGACAAAGGAATCTTTAATTAATAATGAGAGACATGAGAAGGATTGAGTCGGATAAACATAGGATATAACATACCCGGTGGATTACAAGTAGATTGTCTAGCTTTAAGCTCCAAATTACTTTCAGATTGGTGCAATTAGCACTATAAACTTCTTTACAATGGCTAACTAGGTCAACATTGATCTCGCTATATATGACTTAGTGGTCCAATTTACAAGACTTAATAAAAAAAATTCTTTCTCTAGGGTTTTAAACATTTGGGGGTTCTTTGTTATGATAGGTTTTTTCAGATTTAGGAATTGTAAATTTAAGGTTTATGGTACCTGAATGATCTCCCAGTGAAAAGCCGAAAGCTTACGAACAAAATCCAACCAGAGACGGAGTTAGTGAGCAACGACGTAAGAAGAACGACGGGAACGATGGGGAGGAGATGACGGTGGTCAATCGTCTGTAGGTGTTTTCTGTCTGGAAGGGAGTTTAGATTTAAAAATTGGTTGGCGCAGTATCCAAATTTGTTGAGATTCAGGTAATGTCGATAGATTATGAAGAACAGGGAAGACGAGATTACAAGGTGAAGAAAACTCGGAGACACGTTAAAAAAGGGTCAAAAGTTTTGGTGGTCTTTGTAACTTTTGGACGACAAACTTTCAGTATTTATCGGTTAGACCCCAAGATTCATTTTTTTCCAAAATGGCTATAAGTTCATTTTGAGGATGTTACACTAGTAATCGTACGTTATGGGATATGTGGAGGTTGACCCATGTGAAACGCTATCTCCAAGTTTTCTTGTTGTGTTTTTATTTCCTTTTGTTTTCTCTACAACACTTAATCCAGGTATGGAGATGTTCAATAGTGGTGTTTTTAATTCTTACTTCACGATGTATCGTCCACATCCCATTATTAGCGGCCAGTGGCGGACCTATGTGGAGAATTGGGGGTCCCGTGTCACTGCTCAATTTCCGGCTCGTAGAGTAAAAAAAAATCTTTTTTTTTTATTATTTTTCTATTAGGTGCACCCGCTTGAAGTATGAGGGACACCCCTACTAAAATAGTCTGCGTCCGCCACTGTTAGCGGCTATAAATGAACCTAACGTTGTTGGAAGTCGTAAGTCAAGTAGGACACAAGGGAGAGACCCATTCCTTAGGCTTCATAACAAAAATTCACAATGCCCCTAAGATCAAACTAGGTCAAAAGTCAACGGTCAATGAAAGTCAACTCAGTTGAGTACGCCCAACATACTTAGCACGTACGCCCAACGTACGCAGCTGCCATGCAAAACTTCCATTAAGTGCTTAATTCAACAACTCCAAACGTACAAAACTATATCTGAATTTCATATCTAGATATGAAGTAAAATCATCATCTGTGGCTAGGATAGTTAATGTTAGGTTGACGAGTGAATAGAGCAAGTGAGCGAGAATAAGTGTGATAGAAAGCTCGTGTAAAAGCTTACCTTGAGGGCATCGCCATGATGGCATAGTTCCAAATCCAAAATTGTGACAACTCAATGTGACATTTGTTTGTGAATATAAGAACGACATATGTGGTGGTGAAGAAGAATAACAACAGTCTTTATTGATGGTGGCTGAGATTAGGGTTAGGGTGTTTAGGGGGGAGAAAGTAGGAGCTGGTTAGAGGAGACGACAGTAAATGTCGAGTCTAGGGTTTTCAAAGAGGGTTGAGTGGTGTTGGAGATGGTGGTCTATAGGTTTTTAGATGATCGATGGTTTATTGGTGGTGCAATGGTGGTGGAGTTGAGAGGAGAAGGAAGCACCACTCTGAGGTAGGGATTGCAGAAGATACCGGCGGAGGAGGTCGGTTAATGAGGCAAATGGTGTAGAATAAGGGTTTTCTAATGTGGATACGGGAACTATAAATCGAATAGAAGGGATATGGTGCAGTGGCGGTTGAAGACTGAAAGATGGATTCAAAACTTAAAACGTTGGTCATGATGAACAAGGCAAATGGTGACGATATATATCCAACATCTGTGAACAGAAACTGCGAGATATAGGGAAATGTCGAGATAAGGAAAGAGTCAGGTCAAAACAACTTGCTAGTAGGGATAAATAGTCATTCTTATATTGACTTGAAAAGGATGTTGACCAAACTAAGATTTATGATTTGGTAATGCATAAAATATTGTAAATATTGCAATAAAGTTTGTATGATTTAAAATTCAGCATTTGACCAAATATGTTTATAAAGTATATATATATATATATATATATATATATATATATATATATATATATATACTAGCAGTGTACCCGCGCAAAGCGGCAGGGCGTGTAAATTCTTTCGGTGATATGTTTCATCTACAAAAATGTTATGTTACAAAAGAAAGTACATATCGAAGACAAAATAATCAAACTATGGTGTTATTTGGGAGATTAAGTCATTTTTTGTTCCTGGACGGTGGGCTTTATAGCAGAGGAGGGAACAAAGATGTATATGCGATTGGAGGGATATTTGAATCAATATGCTAAATTTAAGGATATCTAAAAGAGTTCAAAATTTGAATGAATCCGGGATTTGAGGGAACCATATCAAATTGCTGAGAAATATAAGGAGATTTGATGATAAATATTTGAATTTAAAATGTGGTTAAAATTTAATATTATTTTATTAATGGTTACTTGTACTATCAGCTTCATCATTTGGACGTCTTAAAAAATATTATTATTATAATCAATCTATTTTTAGAAATAGTTAGATTTCTTTTATAAGATAGTAAATATATATATATATATATATATATATATATATATATATATATATATATATATGGGGTGTTTGGATAGGGAAAAAATGACTGCTAGTTAGCTTATTGCTTATTCTCACCACAATAAGCTAATTTAAATGTTTGGATAGGATGCTTCAAAATCAGTTTATTGTGGTAGGAATAAGCAAAATAAGCTGATTTTAATAAGCTATGCGAGCAATGTTTATTGCTTATTGCTTATTTTTATTGATTTCAAAATTACCTAACTACTCTTCAATAAACTATACATAAAACCCATAAACCCTTCAAAATCCGATAGTTTGCTTCACCTTGCTGCCGATCGCTATTCCTTTTCTCCCTTGGCCATCGTCCCTGGAAGCCATCGTCAATCAGGCATGCTATTTGCTTCTTCTTCTTTTTTCTGCTACTATCGCCCCCTGCAATGAGTATGTTGTTTGCTTTTTTTTTTTCTGCTGCTATTGCCCCCTACAATCAGGTATGCCTTTTTTTATTGGTGATGCAAACACACAATTGTGTTTTTGTTCTTTCCCTGCAACCTTTGATTGCTTTTTTTTTTGCTCTAGAAACTGTCATAAATCCTTTGTTGCACATCTATGTTTTTGTTTCCTCTTTTTTTTTTCTCTTCTTCAACCGTTACCTGCTACACGATTGTTTTTTTTATCGGTGATGTAACATGTTTGTGTGTGTGTGTGTGTTTTTTTGCTCCAGAAACTATCATTAACCTGTGATGGTTGATCATAACATGCCCCTGTGATTATTCTTGATTTTCTTCATCGATTATTGTTGTTGTTATGTGTTATTATTGATGGTATTGATTGTTATTTGTATTCATAAATTCCGCTGCTTATATTGACTCAACGGTAGGTTGAAATTTAAACAGTTTCTTCATTCCTTATCATGATTTAATATAGGTAATGGACACTGTCAATGTTCATGATATGGATTTTGATACAACCAAAGTGAAAGTTACAAATAGGTTTAATTGGGATCCTCATACATTCAAGATTTTTCTTGAGGAATGTATGACCGAGCTAAAAAACGGGAATAGAGCGAGTACTTATTTCAAACCGCCCATGTGCCAAAAAATATGTAAGAGGCTTTTGGAACGAACGGGTAAAGAATTGGACAAAAATCAAATGAAAAACAAATGAGACATTATGCGGAAAGAGTTCAAATATTACGACCGTTTAACAAGACTAGAAATGGGAATTTCAATTGATCCCGTGAAAAATACAATCTCAGCATCAAAGGAATGGTGGGATGATAAATTAAAGGTAATAATTAAAATTTTTGTCTAATAATATATTATTTGTATTGTGTTTTTCATGACATTCTCAATTTGTACATATAGGAAGATAAAGAGTTTGTTAAGTTTAAGGATAAGAATTTGGATGTATATCAGACATATTATGAGGCTTTATTTCGGGATATTGTAGCTATTGGAGACAAGGCTAAGGTACCTTGCGAATTTGGAGACAATAGCACTCTGAATGATGTACAGTTTGTGGATATTACGAATAGAAAAGACGATACCGACAAAGTCCGCTTATTTGATGATGTTGATCCTTTTATCACAATGGATAGTTCTAGTATGAATAGGAGGGGAAAGAAATTAACTCCCAGACGTGACAAGAAAAGAAAGTTTGAAAGAAAAATAATTTGTGTAATTGTAAAAATAATTGGTAACTTATTATATTTTTTGAAATTGTAGGATTGCATTGGTGTCATCGATGGAACACACGTGAAGGCTTCTGTTCCACAACATGAACAAATCAAATTTATTGGGCGAAAGAATTGCGTTGCTCAAAATATTATGGCAACATGTGATTTCAACATGTGCTTTACCTTTGCGTGGGCTGGATGGGAGGGAACTGCACATGATACGAGAATTTTCAATGAAGTGCGAAGGAGATGTGAAGTAAAGTTTCCACTTCCAACCGATGGTTAGTATCATTACTTATTAACAGAAGTTTTATATTTTCAAACAGTATAAATGAATAACAATCATATGCTTTATTTGTACTTGTATAGGTAAGTATTACCTTGTAGACGTTGGATATCCTAATACAAAAGGTTATATTGCTTCCTATAAAGGTTCAAACATCCATTATCATATTCCTGATTTTCGACGTTGACAGACTTTTGCCTTGCGGGAACCAAAAGGCTTCAAAGAAAAAATTAACTATTATCATTCGTCACTTCGCAATACAATTGAACGAACTTTTGGAGTCTGGATGGCTCGACGGGTGTTACTAAGAGATATGCATGTAAATTTCGACTTCGAGACCCAAGTTAAAATTGTGCTAGCTTCAATGGCGATTCACAATTACATTAGATTGAGCGGTAGTGGTGATGCAACATTTCAAATAGCGCAAGAAGAATCTTATATTTCGCACAATGATGAAGGATCCAATAATGGTATTGAGCCACATGACGAGGTATCAAGTACACAACGTAGAACTGAGGATATGTATATAGTGCAGTACGCGATATGATTGCAGGACAGATTTTCACAAGGTCAAACACTTGTGCACGTAATGGCGTATGATTTGTTTTGAAACCCTGTAGTATTTTCATTTTATGGTTTAATGTAGTAGCATGAAACTATTTTGTGTAATATTTTGGATAATATGGTTTTGGAATGAAATTTGTGGTCTAATATATTATTATTATTATTATTTAAAAAAGTTGTTTTGTTTTTATAAGAAAAATATGTAGTAGCATGATAATTGTTTTTTTTTTAGTTCTTATGAATAAGAAAATTATTATTATTATTAAAAAAAAATGTTTTGTTTTAATAAGAAAAATATGTAGTAGCATGATAATTGTTTTTTTTAGTTCTTGTGAATAAGAAAATTATTATTATTATTATTTAAAAAATTAATTGTTTTAATAAAAAAATATGTAGTAGCATGATAATTGTTTTTTAGCTCTTATGAATAAGAAAATTATTATTATTATTATTTAAAAAAAGTTGTTTTAATAAGATAAATATGTTAACATATAAGAGGAAGCATTTTTTGGTCATTTTACTCATATACTCTGTTTTGTTTGCCAAATACTTAAAAATATTTATTGCTTATTGTTTATTCTCATCACAATAAGAAAATCCAAACACTTTTTAAAAAACTGTTTATTCCCACCATAATAAGCAATAAGCTAAAAATATTTTTATCCAAACACCCCAATAATATATATCGTCTTATTGTACCCACAAACAAATATAAACTAAACTAGGAAAAAAAACTACGGTCCCGTTTGATAGTTCCTGAATGAGAAAGTGCTGACTGAGAAAGACCTGTCTGAGTAATAAATTTTGACCGAGTAAGAAACTATGTTGTTTGATTGTATATATGACTGAATTTGCTGAATGATGCAAAATGACCATTTTTCTCCGATGCTCAAAAATCTTTTTATTAAATATACTATTAATAAAAAAAAATTAAAATTATTTATAAATGTAATATTAATAAAAAAAATTAAAATTATATATATATATATATATATATATTCGTTTTCCAATCCATTCAAAGGCAAACAGGTCATATATTCTTCATATTCTAATTACCAATTAAAGCAAATTGGATACAATAAGGCAATATCAAAACTATTTGCAGGAGGTTCTACGTTTTCTTGAGCATCGGAACTTCAACATCAAAAAATCGGAACTTGAACAACAACAAAATTGGAACTTGAACGGGAATAAAATCGGAACTTGAGCAGAAAAATAGTCGAATTGAACAGCAAAATGGGAACTTCAAGCAGAAAAAAAAAACGCAATTGAGAAGAGAGAGAACAAATTGAACAGCAAAAATAGGAACTTCAAGCAGAAAAAAACGCAATTGAGAAGAGAGAATCATACTTGATGAGAAGAAGCAGCAAAAGCGAAAATCTGTAGAGTTGTAGAGGCGCAAATCGTCGATCGATGGGGAGCACAGCTTCGTCGATCGCTTGAAAGAGAGAAAAACGGGATGAGGCGCTGAAATATGGAACGTATTAGGGCAAGGGCTCTTTTGGAAATTATCTATTCCTTTTTTAGTCAGCAGATATCCAGAGTCTTTCCCACTCAGCTCTATCTTACCGAGTCAGACATCTCATATATGTTTATCAAACAAGTTCAGCTGACCGAGTCAGCCAAAAACGTCTGACTTGACTCGGTCAGACATATATCAAACGGGGCCTACGTCTTTTCTGACCCGTAACAATACGAACGCAACCCTTAATTGAAAAAAAATAGGAAGTGGGAAATTTTTTGAAAATTAAGGCACATGGGGATATGCTCTTCTCCTCAAGAATCCAAAAAGCAATTGAAACTTGTGCTTCATGCAGGCTTATTACTTCCATCTCATCACATACGTGTCATCACCATGAATCCACCCATCCATCTTTATTAACACCACCGTCTCCACCTCTCATCATCTCTCGCATCGACATTCTTCTCTCTCTCTAGATCTATCTAGATTCTTGGTTGTTAGATTTGTTGGCCATGGCTACTAACGATCGTCATCCCCACCAGGTCCAAGTCCACACCATCCAACACCCACGATACGAACACGGCGGCAACAAATCGTCGTTTTTCACTGATCAAGAAGGTCCATCAAAGAGCAAAATCTTCGCCGTCATGGCCCTCCTTCCGGTGGGTGGAATCCTACTTGGCCTCGCAGGAATCACCTTTGTGGGTACTATGATCGGTCTAGCTATCGCCACCCCAATTTTCATCATCTTCAGCCCGATTATTGTTCCGGCAGTCCTCACCATCGGGCTGGCGGTAGCCGGATTTCTGACATCCGGGACGTTTGGGTTGACGGGGCTGAGCTCTTTGTCTTTTCTGGTGAACAGTCTGAGGCAGGTGACGGGGTCGACAGTGCCGGAGCAGATCGACTATGCGAAGAGGCGGGTTCAAGACATGGTGGAGTACACAGGACAGAAGACGAAGGAGGTGGGCCAGACCATACAGGACAAGGCTCATGAAATTGGACCAGAGGTTCAAGTTCATGGAGGTGCCAAGGAAGGACGTGGTGCCAGGACTTGAGGCGATAATGTTGAAATGGTGGAGTTAAATTAATGTTTTCCGAGTCTTTTTGTGTGTTTTATTTTTATGGTGAGATAGATCGAGTATTGTACTTGTTGATGATCTTGAAGCTTAATTTTTCGTCTATCAAATACGAATGCCAGTTCTTCTATTTCATTTATGTTTTAAGAAAACGGTGACAACAAAAATCCTATATAAATAGAGAAATTAAATTGATTCCTACTTTTTATGCCTACAAATGTTCCTACCCAATAAAATTATGACAAGTGTCATATTTTCATATTTTTTAAACTAAATCATTAAGATTATATTATGAATATATCAAATACAATTAAATTGAATGGTGATTTGTCATAATTTTAGTGGGTAGGAATAATTGTAGGAATAAAAGGTAGGAGGCAATTTAATTTCTCATATAAATATATAGTAGCCTTTTTCCGTATCGATGAAGATGATTCCAAAAATAGTAATTAGTTTAATTATATCATTATCTCTAAATATTACTAAAACAAAACCTTAAATTCTTCAATGAAGAAACATCTAACCCTTGATTGCATTTTCCTCCTTTAATCTCCACCTTAGGATCATTTTGCTGACATCATCCTCACCCAAAAATAAATTCACAAGCCTACAAATAAAAATACTTTCTAACGATTCATTCCTAATACATGGAATCGATTTTCTCAACAAGAATATCGGTGCAGGCATCAACATAGTCGATTCTTGAAGGCTTGATTGCGTCAATCGAATATGTGATTATGTTATAAATTATCTCTCAGCCATGGCTAAATAAAGGTAAAAGATGCTGCTTATTAACCTTCCAAATCAAATCAGAGATTTACAGCGGCTGATTTAGCAGAAACACCCACTTCCGGCTATCTGAAAACCCTAGGAATCATGGGGAAGAAAGGGAAGAACACCAATAACGGTGAATCCGATGTTGATCGCACTCAGTATTACGATATAACAATGAACATACTGTTCGCCATGGTGTCGGAGCCCTATTATCTCCTCCATTTCCTCACCTTCTTCTCTTATTTCTCCATCAGATTCTCCACTTCTCAATTATTTTCTCTTGAATTCGCCGGACACCTCCTCCGCCGTGTAAGCGATCTCCTTTTCTCAGGCCTCTCTTTATCACTTACACAGGTTTATTAATGTATCGATCTGCAAATATCTTTCATTGATTACAGGAACTTCAAGCGCTTCTTCCAATCTCAAACAAGTGAATTAATTTTATATAAATAAACATATATCTTATCAGGGCCATTCAATGCATTTCAATCTTATATTCTAGACCTTTGGATCATTTGCTCACGTCATCTTCCTTCCACCCAATACCCCGTTGTGTAATGTTCCCTTTCGTTCGTCGTTTACTCTGTCTCTTCTTCCTATCTTAAGAAACAGTCAATCCATTCGCTTCTACTTCTTTGTCTAAATCTTGTAGACCGATCACTCTGTTTCGTCCTCCAATGTGGAAGAACTGGAACTTGCAGATACCCAATTCAGGGATTTCGAAGAATAGTGTTCAATCCGTTCAAGCATCTGCGACTTCATTAAGGTAAGTTATCTTCAATTGGTCTGCGAATTTCTCGGAATTTAATTGATTCGAACTCTTTCATTGACATTTTTTGTAATTTTGACATAGATTTTTTAGGGTTCTTTCCAATCCCACCTTTATCAAATTCCAATACTTCAGAAATCTACTACTCTTCCATATACTTGGTTCTAATAATATTCTCTTTCCGTGCTTCTTCTGTGATGTAGGAGGCATATATCATGCCGAAGACAAAAGAAGAAGAAGAGAAAGTAAACCGAGATGTGTGTACTTATACAAACCATGAGCATCATAGGAACATATCTTTGGACAAAAGCCTTAGTGCTTCCTTAGATTCTCTTGATAATCTCTTTTGTTGGCGATGTTTGGTACTTCTGGGTGCTTTTTGGTTACTGTTGGTTAGATTGGGTCAATGGTATGCTCATTTCTGCTTATTTATGTGACATGTATTTGATTGTCGTCTTCATGGCTACTCTCAGTCTGTTATTATTCCTGTAAGCATTTGTGCTCTCACAACCATTGCACTTTCATGGTGGGTTTACTGCATCCTGCACTTATGTAATGTGCTTTCATTTGCATCTTAAACAGACCGAAAGGCAGTATTGCCCTCTTGAGTCTCAAGAAAATGCAAAACCCTACAGTGACCACTGTTACCTTCAGGTTTACCAACCCAATCTACATTTCACTTTCTTGTACATTTCACTTGCTGTGGCTGTGGATGCTGTCAGAAAAGGTGCAGCTGCATAAGGCATGACAATTAGAGGGTATGTTTGGTGTGGACATGATCCCACATCTTAGTAGGACTGGACCTGCACTTGACCTTTTTAAAGCTAAATTGGAGGTAATGCTAATAATTTGAATACCTTTTTAACTTCACACAAAATGTAATTATCCAAGAAATATACGCATACGTTGTTTTGTCACCTTACATTTTTTTTAAAATTTTGTTTGTTATATGTAACTAATTTTTAATAGTACTTAACCTACCAAATGATACATTTGAACGCTAAACAAAATAATAGTAGTTTTGGTTTTAAGTTTACTTAACCCGTTTCATCCAATCTCAAACAAGTGAATTAATTTTATATAAATAAACATATATCTTATCGTGTTGTTGTTTTTTTTGGAAAGAAGGGTCTTTCCTAACCAAAGTCTCAATGTCACCATGATAGTACTATTCGTTGTCGCAACACCGATCAATAATAGTATGAGTGTTCCTTTAAATAAAATATGTTTTTCTTTCTGAATTATTTGTCGAAAGCAATTCAAAGAGATGTTTATAAGGTGATGACAGATTCTTACCATAAAGAAGGGCAGGAGGCTACAACCTCAACTTGTATGATGTAATTAATTAACTATGCCTCTTTCTAAAATGTTTTCAAAGAGATGTTCGTATGGTAATTATTATATAGTACATGATAGTATGATTTTGTTATATAATTTCCTTATACTACAACCTTTTCAAATTTATAGTTTTTTATATGGTAAAAATATTATCTTAAATATGGTATATATTTATTATATTTTTTCCTTATTCTACAAACTTTTCAAATTTACAGTTTTTTATATAGTAATTATTCTATTTTAAATGATACTATGATTTTATCTATTTGTCTACTTATATTTGAGATGGTATACTGATATTATTTAGGATATCATACCGTATATAAAACATCTTTTAAGTATGGACATGATATTACATTCCATAATCTTTATTTCATATCAGCATTAACCAAATATATATTTTCCTATATTTTCTAAATATATTAAACATCTTATATTGAGTTTATTTTCGATATCATACCATATTTATGAAAATATTGTATATTTATTATATAATTTCCTTATTCTTCAAACTTTTCAAATTTACAGTTTTTTATATGGTAAATATTATCTTAAATATGGTATGAATTTATTATTTTTATATTTATATTTGACATGATATACTGATATCATTTTGGATATCATACCATAATTAAAACATATCTTAAGTATGGAAGTGATATTACATTCTAAAATGTTTATGTGATATCAGCATTAACCAATTTTTTTCCCTATAAATATACTGTCTACGATTTTTCATTACAAATCAAAATTCTCTCTAAACAATTATCCCCTTCCATTGCAGATAATAGTATTCCATGGCATCTAACAATGCAGATCAGGTCGTCTTTGATAAGGTTGCTGAAATCAACGCATCTAAAGAGTCTTGGAACATACGTGTTAAAGTCGTCATGCTTTGGAAGCCGACCTATGTAAACAATCCTAATATGGTCACAAGCCTGGACATGATTTTAATCGACCAGGAGGTACTGTTTTTACACCATTTGTTTTTTAAAATTATCAATTTTTATGTTATCTCTATTCAAAAAAAGTTGAAATTCGAGAGATGTTATACTTTTTTACTTCTTTTCATACAATTTTAATAAACAACTTTATTATTTTTAATAATAAAGTTTAGTCTATGTAATGAAATCTGTTATTGTTCCGTTTTTTAATACATTTTTTGCACTTTTTTATCTTTCATTGTCACCTACAGGGAAGTAGAATTCAAGCTACAATAAAAAAAAATCTTATTCCAGTATTTGAATCCCTATTCGATGAAGGAGCTGTCCGGGAGATCAGTAACTTCGCTATGGCTAGCAATCAAAGCGAATACATGCTTGTACCTCATAAACATAAAATCAATTTCTACAAAACCACGAAAGTTCGTGTATCCAATGATTTTGTTGATACAGTAGATCCTTATCATTTTATCTCTTTCCCAGATTTGCTAGCCAGGAACTTTGACACTCGTGTTGCATTTGGTATGTTATGTTGTTAGTTTAACTTATTTCTATACTTCAATTTTTAATGTAATACACATTTGGGTTATTATTACTAATTTATTAAATTTTTTCACATAGATTTTCTAGGTGAAGTTGTGTCAAGTGATCCCATGCGAGTCATTGTTGAGTATGGAAGAGAGAAAAGGTTAATGAATCTGGTTGCTCAGGATTTAAGGTACACATTCGTATTATTATTACACATTCCCCCGTTTATATTTATCTTTCATTAATAACCACCATGCATATTTAGTGGTACGAGAATTGCAGTCGCTTTGTGGGGCAGTTTTGCAATGAAGTTGAATACTTACATTTCACAACATAATAATGACACTGCTCCTGTTATTATCCTGCTACGTTTGGCCAAACTCAAAATTTGGGGTGGTAAGTGTTTTTTACAACAAATTATCATTTCAACTTCAAAGTAATTACTGACAATATTAATTTTCTTTTTTCTTGCAGGTCAGCCTCAAGTTGGTAATTGTTTGTTTGGGTCTAGATTGCATATAAATGATGATATGCCTCAGATTTTGGAGTTCAAATCAAAGTATGTTATTTAACATTTTTAACACATTTATCTTACTAAATCATTACTTTTGTTGAATAACTTCACTATTTGTTTATGTAGAATTAATGCTTTGGATACAAATGTTGAGTCTTCTAGCCGTACATCCCAGCTCAACTCAGATACCGTTGTGGCTAATCCAGAGGATTACTACCTCCGTTTTCAGATAAAAAACATTGATGAAATTCCTGATTTTAATGAGGTTTACTTAACATTTTTATATAACAGTTTCCGCATTCTATTATTGTTTTGATTTTATATCTACAATTTATATGAAATAATATTTTAATATGATTCCTTTTTTCTCCTATATATGAAACAGGAAGTTGGTTTAACCATTATCGCTACTATTATTGGTTTTGATATGGATGATGGTTGGTATTCATTTTATTGCCGTGATTGTTCTAAAAAAGTTACTAAAAATCATGATGATGTTGATGCTGGCCCTTTTCACTGTGATGGTTGTGGATTTGTCTCGGATGTATTTGGAAAGTAAGTAATTATTATCTCGAAGACTATGCATGTATTTTACAATTTTCATATATTTCATTGTGTATGTCAAGCTAAATATAAGTACTATGTTATAATTTTTAGGATTAGGATAGTAGTTCGTGTGCAAGATGAAAGTGGCTCTTCTTCGTTTGTATTGTTTGAGCGTCATGTAAAAGATCTTATTCATCGTGGAAACCAATGGTTGATGGACAAAATAGCTAAGGTTTCATAAAATATCTCCGTTATTTAAATGATTGACATATATGATTTTTATTCTTTAACTTTTCCAAACATTTTATAATGTAAATTAGGATCAAGGCTGACAACAGATACCTGATGAGTTCAAAATTCTTCTAAATAAGAAGTTTGTCTTCAAAGTTCAGATTTCCATGTTCAATCTGCAGAACAACTATCGTGCTTACACTGTGCATAAGTTAACCGATGATGAAAGGGTTCTTGATGAGGTGACAAAAAGGTCATCAAATCATCAACATGATCATATAAATGATAATGGTACTCCTGTTAACAAGCTAAATAAGGTTGGTAACTGTCTCATATATTTCCAAAGTCAAACCCTGTGCCCTCTCTTCAATATATTTTTCTTTCATTTTTCATAACTTTATGCAAATATGGTATGTTTTGTTTTATATTTTTCTTTATCGATATTTATTATTTTCTGTTATCTACAGGAAAATACCAATTATGTGCATGATGACAATCTTGATGTTGTTGACCTTGAAGCTGTAACACCATCATCGAGTACGGGGAAGCGCCCTATTGAGATTGATGCCAACAATGAGTCTTTGGAGTGGTCTTCTTCAAAAACTTCTGTTGTACGGGATACCTTGAAGATCCCAAAGTTGGAAAAGTTGGACTAATATCAAGCCACCCATCAAAATTTTACATATCATCTTCGATATGTTTATAGACATTTTCTTTTTAATCTTTTGTGTGTCGCATTTTTAATTCTCAGTTTATTGATCTTTTGGTTGTTTTTAAAATTGTATTGAGTTTTTATTTGGTGTGTACACAATGATACAATTGGAGGTCATGACAATTTCAAGTTATTGAACTATTTTGATTTAATGCGTATTTTCTTTCTTTTTTCTTTCATTCATCATTTGATTATATATATATATATATATATATATATATATATATATATATATATATATATATATATATATATATATATATATAGACACACGAAAATTAAGAATTTCTTTATATATGCTAATGCACTTACTTTATATTCTAAATGGAATTTAAATTTTATTTGCATAAATATACATCGTTTACATATGGTAACAGAATAAAATCATAGTCTAAGTATTCAAAATACATGTCATCTATATTTTATTTATTCCTACCATAATTATATTCATGCTTTATTTTTTACCAAATTTAAAGCCTTGTGATATTCAGTTACCTAATTTATATATATATATATATATATATATATATATATATATATATATATTTTTATTATATATAATATTTCACCTACTTTTATTTGTTAAAGTCAAATTTAAACTTTATTTGCATAAATATTCATCGTTTTCATATGGTAACAGAATAAAATCATGGAATATGTAAACAAAATCAATTTTTCTATAATGCATTTATTCCCTCCATAATTATATGAAGACTTTATTTTTTACCTAAGTTAAACCCAACTAATATTTCATTACTTTATTTAACTATATGCAATATTTATTTTTTACCAAATTTAAATCTTTTGAAATATCCAGTTCCCTTATTTAAAGTGTTAGAAATCATCATCATCACTCTATATATATATATATATATATATATATATATATATATATATATATATATATATATATATATATATATATGTCTAAGAACGTAAAAATTATCAAACATATTGAAATGACTAACATTTCAAATGCTTCGGGAAAGAAAAAACCTACAAGGTTTGTTACTAATGTGTCACCCAACAACACTTCCCCAACAACACCACTGTCTGGCATCACAAATGGTAAGATTCATATTTAAGCATTCTGTTTATATTTGAAGTGCTTGAGTGTTTATAATGTTCAATTTGTATAACTCATTTCTCTTTATATTTCATTTGAGTTTTTGATATACATACCATTCTCTCTTTAATGAATGCATCATCTTCATCCAATGCTCTAAAACCATCATCACATTCAACATTACAAACAATATCCCACAAAGGTACATTTTCTTATATGTTATGCATCTTTTATATTACACTTTTGTTTTTATATTTGTTTATCTATTGTACTATTAATATTTTTTTAATATTTCTCCTCCGTTTATGATACGAATCTTCATTTCAGAAAATAATTTTTTCATACCACCTAATTGTCGAGTTGCTCGAAACCTTTCCGAATTATCTAAGGCTACCCCGTCTCATAACATCATACGACCGAATGTTCAATCCACATTTATTTCCCCAAGAACGCAACTTTCACACCTAACAAATCAAGGTAAAGTATTCTTAATTTCTTTTATATTATATTTACATACACTTCTTAAATCATATAACGTCAATTTTAACTTCTCAATATATAAACTTTTAACATTTAATTTTTAATACATATATGTCTATAATATCTAATTTGTATAACGATCTTTTTTAATACATATAGGTCTATAATATCTAATTTCGGTAACTACATTTTTCCTTTATTATCTTATTTAATTTTATGTTTTATATATACTTTTCCTCTTTAGTTCATTCACCCTCTTTATCGAATGCTTTCAAAACACCATCATTTCAAACAATACAAAGAAATTCTCAGAAAGGTACATTTTCTTATATGTTATGTCTCTTTTGTATTGTATTTTTTTTATTTGTTTATGTGTATTAAATTAATATATTTTATTTATATATTTTGCTATATTATCATCCAAATTTTCATTTTTCAGAAAATAGTTTCTTCGTACCCCCTAATTGTCGAGTTGCTCAAAACTTTACCGAATTACCTCCAAACTTTTCTAACAACCAAGATACAATTCAGCACAACACAACTCATTCAACAACAACGAAATCGAAACGATTTAATACACAAGATATTCCATTATTTGAGTTGAATGAAGATTTCGTTGAACCTTCAGGTACCCATATTGTTCAACTTGATCGTTTATCTATTAATAATGATCAACTTCATTATTCAGTTGTCTTATTATATATTTTATTCATACATACAGTTACACATTTTTCAGTTGGTCCCAACATTAACTATAAAGAAAAGAAAAAAAGAGGCAGACCGATTTCAACAAAAAAGAAGACACAAATATGTATTCCTTCTACTTCAAATGCTCAGAATGATGTAACCGGTAACAATCATTCTAAATATATCGGAATAAGAAAAGGTATTATATCCACACCACAAATTATTTGTCATGACAACTAAAATGTCGTTCCCCTATTACATTTATAGCATACCACAGATATAATTTCGTAAATTTGTTTATTTATTTATAGATTATTTGGATTCTGGAGATGCTGTATATGTTTGCTCAGTATGTAAAGCTAAGGTGTGGCAGGGAGAAGCAATTCGAGGAAATAAGGATTTAAAGAAAACATGTTATTCCATTTGTTGTTACAATGGAAAAGTTGAACTACCCAGTCTGATTCACCCACCTCAGTTGTTGATTGATTTATATAGCGGTCTTTCGGAAAAAAGTCAAAACTTTATACAGAATATACGTCGATACAATATGATGTTCGCATTCACATCTATGGCTGGAAAGATTGATCACACCGTTAACTCAGGAGGTGGTCCTTATGTTTATCGAATGCATGGCCAAAATTATCATATTGCAGGCAGCTTACTTCCCCAAGATGGTGAATCACCCAGATTTTGTCAATTGTACATATATGATACAGATCATGAGGTTCAAAACAGATTCAAATCATGCGAGTGTGTGAATACCCTATATTATATAACTCCATTATATATATATATATATATATATATATATATATATATATATATATATTACTACAAAAAATTTATATCCATTCTTTTTTTGATTATATTATTATAGGTCTAATAAGAAGAAAAAGACCACATCTAATGAGTCCATGGCAAATCCGTTTTCTCTTGAGTTCTGGACTATTCACGAGTTGATGGGCTTATTGGATTTCATTAATCCACTGGTTAAACAATTTAGAATGGCACGTGATCGCTTTGGTTCAAATCCAACAGAGCGTATTAGGTTGAAATTGATTGGGTCAAGAGAAAATGATGATAGGCAGTATAATCTTCCTACCACAAATGAGGTAGCTGCCCTCATTATAGGTGACATTGATGGGTATGATTCAAGGGATATCGTATTGGAAACGCAAAGTCGATAACTTCAACGTATTAATGAGTTGCATCCTCAGTATCTTGCACTTCAATATCCTTTATTATTCCCTTATGCCGAAGATGGATTTCGAGTCGATATACTACATCGTGGTGTTGAAGATCCAGAATCTGATGGACAAATAAGGTTGACCATGCGAGAGTTTTTTGCTTATCGTATACAACAGAGAACCGATGAAATATCATTGATATTACGTTCAAGAAAACTATTCCAACAGTTTTTGGTTGATTCGTATACAATGGTTGAAAATGAACGACTTAGTTATATTAGGTTTAACCAGCCAACCTTACGCGTGGCACCTTATCGCAACTTGGCCCAGGCAGCTGAAGATGGCATTGAAGATGCTTCTTTTATTGGAAACCGTATTATTATACCATCTTCTTTTACTGGCGGCAGCCGTTACATGCAACAAAACTACTTAGATGCGATGACTCTGGTTAAGTGGTTTGGTTATCCAGATCTTTTTTTAACCCTTACATGTAATCCTAAATGGCCAGAAGTCATTAGATTTGTTGAAGCCGAGAATCTTAAACCAGAAGACAGGCCAGATATTCTGACACGAATTTTCAAAATTAAACTTGATTCATTAATCAGTCAATTGAAGGATGAAAAAACTTTGGGTGAAGTCGCTGGAGGTATCAATCTTATATATTTTTTACTCATTAACATTATAACTTTTTGATAATTTTATCTTTTAACCCTGCTTGCTTTCTTTGCTCACACAGTTGTATATACGATTGAGTTTCAAAAGAGGGGCCTGCCACATTGTCATGTATGTCTGTTTTTGGAAAAAAAATTCTAAAATTCCAAATCCTGAAGACATAGACCGTGTTATATGTGCTGAATTGCCAGACAAGGATAATGAACCCGATTTGTATCAGATTGTTTGTGATAACATGATACACGGACCTTGTGGCAACGATCAACCATTTATGTCGTGTATGAAAAAAGGCAAATGTTCAAAAAGATTTCCAAGGGAATATACCGATCATACGTATATTGATGGTTATCCTATTTACCGGAGACGTAACGATGGAAATAATGTCCTTAAAAAAGGTGTTTCTTTAGACAACAGGTATACACAAATCCTTTTGAATGATTTAATAAATTTTAATTCCTTAAAATTTTTTTCTTTTTATGAAATATATTATTATATGTTTAAATACATAAATATCAATAAACAACTTAAATTAAAATGGTACTAATATTTTATTTTTAAACGGATAATGTAATATATAAAAACATATTACTCATTATATATGTTTTCTTATGTTCTTCCTATGTTAACTTCAAATTATCATTTAATGTTGTTTATGAAAATTTTCTTGATTTTTCAGGAATGTTGTTCCATATAATAAGATCCTTATGAAACAATATCAAGCTCACATGAATGTAGAGTGGTGTAACCAAGTTGGATCGATAAAGTATCTTTTTAAGTATATTAACAAAGGACCGGATAGGATAACAACATCTATTGTTGATCCAACAAAAAAGAAAAAACAACAAATACAAAATAACGACGATGACGAAATTGGTGAGTTCTATAACTGTCGTTATATTTCCGCATGTGAGGCATGTTGGAGGCTTTTTGCGTATGATATTCATTATCGAACACCTCCTGTCGAAAGGTTGTCATTTCACCTCGAAAACAAACAACCTGTTGTATTTAAACCAAACCAACATCTTAATCAGGTTTTTTCTAAACCGACTGTCGCTGCTTCTCAATTTTTAGCTTGGATGGAATGTAACAAGCATGATGAAGATGCACGAAAGTTGTCATACGTTGAATTCCCAACTAAATATGTTTTGGAATAAATCAGATAAGATATGGACAAAAAGAAAAAACCAAGTCCAAGGCACTCGGTCGATTAAACCACGTTTCTCCCAAGGCTGGTGACATTTATTACCTACGGATTCTGCTGAACAAAATCAAGGGTCCTACAAGCTATGAAGATATCAAGACAATTAACGGAATTGTACATGAGTCTTACAAAGATGCTTGCTATGCTCTTGGTCTATTAGATGATGATAGAGAGTACATTTCGTCAATAAACGAAACACATCATTGGGCCACAACATCTTTCTGCCGGTCTCTCTTTGTTATGTTGATTACATCAGATAGTTTGTCAAGTCCTGCTCATGTTTTTGAAGAAACGTATCAATGTCTTTCTGATGATGTCATTCACGTTCGTGAACAAGAAATCGGCGTCAGAGGTAAATAAACTAATTTATAGTTTTTTTATTCAAACTAATAAATTTCTTCTTGAAAAGAAAATCAATTAATTTCAACTTTAAATAAAACCGATAAAAACTATTTAACAATAGGTCATATTTAAAGGGTCAGGAATTGCATTTGTATTAATTGCCCTAAAATTTCGTTTTCCCTACATTTTAATTTGATTCCAAAACAACCCAATTATTGTTAATATACAAATGGTCCTTGGACGGAACTATATTGCTTAAAAATGACCTTTTTAAAAAATTTGTCATAAAACATAATCAACAATTTTTTTTTCCATTTATACAAAAAAATTGTTCGTTTTCCATCATTTATACATTATGCATGTAAAACTCACAAAAAACCAACTCGCGATTACATCATTTATAGTAGTTATAAATGTCTTAACATAAGCCATTTACATAGCTATAACCATATTTAATTTCGTTGTATATTGCATTTTCAGGCTTGAAGTTAAAAGAGGATGCAATTTTTCAACCTTACCTTGTCATACATCGAGAAATCATTATTGAGTTGTGGATTAAGTTTGAAGCAAATACCAAATATGCCGTTTCCTGATCATAGATACATTCAAGAATCATGCAATATGTTAATTCAAGATGAGCTTAACTATGATCCTGGTGTTATTGAAGTTGAGCATCAAGATTTGTATTCCAAATTAAATGTCGAGCAAAAAAATGTTTATCACACCGTTATGAATGCGGTTAACAACAACCAAGGTGGTGTCTTTTTCCTTTATGGTTACGGAGGAACCGGAAAAACATTTGTTTGGAAAAACTTGTATGCTGCTATTAGATCCAAAGGTGAAATTGTTATCAACGTTGCTTCAAGTGGAATTGCAGCACTATTGCTCCTTGGTGGTAGGACAGCGCATTCAAGATTTATTATCCCAATTAACTTGACCGAGAATTCATTTTGTTCTATCGCGCCAGACAGTGATCTTGCTGCACTACTTAACAAAGCAAGACTTATCATTTGGGATGAAGCTCCGATGATGCACCGTCATTGTTTTGAAGCATTTGATAGGACGCTTAGAGACATTATCCGTTCATCTGACAGGAATAAAGCGTTTGGCGGCAAGACCATTGTATTTGGAGGTGACTTTAGACAAATTCTTCCAGTAATACAAAGAGGTAATCGTTCGGATATTGTGCAGGCATCGTTACATTCATCAAGATTATGGAGTGAATGTACAGTGTTACGTTTAACGGTAAACATGAGGCTTCAGGTTGGTTGTCCAACTAATGATTTGGATGAGACAAAAGCATTTGCAGAATGGATTCTTAAAATTGGTGAAGGTAATATTGGTGGTCCTAATGATGGTGAAGCTGAAGTTGAATTTCCAGAAGATGTTATCATTCGCTCTACAGGTGACCATATTCATTCAATTATATCGACCATTTATCCTTCTTTTGAAAACCATCTTGATGACCCATCATATTTTCAAGATAAGGCTATTTTGGTTCCTACTAATGAAGAAGTTGATGCTATCAATGACTACATGTTAGGATTGATGAAAGACGAAGGCAAAACTTATCTGAGTTCGGATTCTTTATGTGAGACAGAGTCAGCAGATTGTTTTGAGGAATCAGTTTACTCTCCGGATGTACTGAATGCTTTTTAGGCATCTGGAATTCCCAACCATAAACTCACATTAAAAACAGGTGTTCCGGTCATGTTGCTTCGTAATATTGACCAAACCAAAGGTCTATGCAATGGTACAAGGTTACAAATATTAGGCTTGGAAAACATGTCATTGAGGTACGTATTATAGCTGGTAGATTCTTCAATGAGACTACTTATATACCTCGCATGAAGTTAACTCCGTCTGATAAAAGAATCCCCTTCCGTTTTCAGCGGAGACAACTTCCCGTAGCTGTTTGTTTTGCCATGACCATTAACAAAGTCAAGGGCAGTCATTATCAACTGTTGGATTGTATTTACGTAGACCTGTCTTTACTCATGATCAGTTATATGTAGTTGTATCCCGCGTGACAAGTAAAAAAGGCTTGAAGGTACTCATATGTGATGAGGAAGGTCGTCAAACCAATAAAACAAAAAATGTTGTGTACAAGGAGGTCCTTCAACGATTATAGATAATCATACATTTCTTTTTATTATTTAGACATATCAATATAATCAATAAAACGACGTGTCTTTCTGTTACTTTATCATACTTAAATTTATTATGTTCGTTTTTTATGATATCATGTTAAATAATCGGGGTCCTTGATTGTGTTTTCTTTATATGTTTTACACCGTTAAATAAAATGTCTTAATCTCCAATCTTCTCTAATATCTAAATATTATTAAAAGAGAACCTTAAATTCGATGCTGTTATAAATCAAGGCCATTCATTACATTTCAATCCTTAATTTCTAACCCTTGAATTATTTGCTGACATCATCGTTTTACTGGTCAGAAGTTCAATTAATGGATTTGATTTCATTATGTTAACTGTTTATTTGATTGTTAATGTTAACTTTTAACCTTAATGT